ACCAGGCGCTGATAGCTCACACCCACAATCTTAACTACCCAGGAGGCTGAGATCAGAGGATCATGATTTGAAGCCAGCTTGGGCAGGAAAACTCATGAAACTCTTATCTCCAAATAACCAGCAAAAAGCCAGAAATGGAGCCTGTGGTTCAAGTGGTAGAGCTCTAGCCTTAAGCAAAAATGCTCAAGGACAATGCCCAGGACCTGAGTTCAAGCCCCAGGAGTAGCATGCACACGTGTACACACACACACACACTACACACATAAAATAAGATATTCCAAGTACCTCCATTATACTATAGCTACTTCACAGATAGAGACCATTTTTTCACCTGTATTTAAATCAATGTTTGATAGTGCTTGACCCATAACAGATACTGGACATAGGCAAATTTCTTCTTAGAGGTGATCCAAGACCTAATCCTTTTTATTAATTACTAATGAACTCACAGGTAATTAGCAGATTTCCTCATACTTGTTGGATTTCACCCTTAATTATGATAAAATAGGAGCCTGGACAAAGTCTTCTCTAGGCTCCTTTCCAGATCTGATATATAACCAGTTGTGCCCACTCAGTATACTCTACCCCAGTGTTGCTCTCAGAAATTAATAATTCTACAAACTGAGGAGACACAAAGAAGCCATGAATCACTTTGTATTTACAGATATACATGCATTTAAAACAAATTCTGTAAAATAGCTACAATACTGTTGCACTTGTGGCCTACTTTTGCCTCTTTAAAGGCCAAGAGTTGTTGTGGGTTTTTTTCTTCTTTTATTTGGATTTGTTTAGGAAGATGAAATCTGGGACAAGTTACCACTAACACGTATTATACAGCTCCAATCTCATTGGCTAATTTCACTATTACCGTGATTGATGAATAGTAAACTGCAATCAGCTGGAAGCTGCTGCCTTCCATTTGACAGAAATGAGGTCACAGAACAGGGCTGGGGGACAGCCATCAACAAGCAGGTCTGTTGCCCAGTATAATAGTTTGCTGCTTTAACACAGTCCATCTGTTGTGAAGATGCTTGTTCCCTTGAACTGGCTTCTGACTTTAACAGTCTTTAAGTAAAAGAGTCAGTCTCTTTCTGGATATCAGCAGGAGATAAAAGATTATTGAATACAGATGGTAAAGGGCTGTGCAGGACTTTGTCTGAAATCCTAGTTCTACAGCAAGTGATACTAGATGAGTGTTACTACACAGAGAAAATAATTATCAGCCATGACACTCTATGAAACTTTACAGAGTAAAAAGCACATCAGAACCACTGCCCTATAAAGGGAATGTATTATTCCTGGTCAGAGAAAATCAAGTCACTCCCCAAAATGTACCTTTGCTCGGGTATGGAAATTGCTCAAAGTACTGCTTGTGAGCCACCTAAGAATTGCTGACAGAGGCAGATATAAGGAAAGCTAACACTTGGTCCGGAGAAGCTCTGGGAATTTTGCTTAGGTCCCTGGGATCTGGTTACCCCAGAACCTAACTCTCAAGTATTAGATATCCATCACATTGGATCAATCTGAGTAGTGGAACAATTTAATAGGGTCTTTTCAGACTCAGAATCTGACAGTCCTGCGATGGAATCCTAGTTTACTAGGATTACTCTTACACTTGCTAGCAGTATAATCTTGGCCAAATCTCTTGACTTGTCTCCATCACATTTATGTAAAAGGGATGTAGTATACAATGTGGCTAAGAGTACAGACCATGGAACCTACCACATGGAGTTCAACTCCAGCTCTGCCATTTATGTAATCCTAGGCAAACAAAACTTGTCTATTGTTTAATTTCCTCATTTTTAAATGAAGCTTTCTCATTTTCAGGACTTCCTTTACAAAGATCTTGGGAAGATAAATGAGTTAATACATGTAAAGTGCTTGAAACAATGTCTAGTGCAGCAAAAGGATGGCATCCATGTTAATTAAAATAATAAGAAGGAAATCCGGATCTCTTGGGTTTGTTTTGCAGATGGTGCAAAACAAAAATGTTGAGGGTCCAAAAGTATCACAGAGTTGTTAATGCCTGATGAGTCTAAGGTCATTCAAATTTTACTTTGTAGATACAAAATCAGGTCTCAAGAAGTATGTATGTATATGTATGTGGTATGTGTGTGTGTTTGTGTGTGTGTGTGTGTGTGTGTGTGTGTAGAGAAAAATTGGTGTAGAGGGCAGGGAATGTGGCTTAGTGGTAGAGTGCTTGCCTAGCATGCCCTGGGTTCCATTCCTCAGTACTACATAAACAGAATAAAGCCAGAAGTGGTGCTGTGGCTCAAGTGGTAGAGTGCTAGCCTTGAGTAAAAAGCTCAGGGACAGTACCTAGGCCCTGAGTTAAAAAAAAAAACACCCAAAAATTGGTGTAGAGTCACACATGATTAAATTACAGTCCTGGTCTCCTAAATTCAAATTCAGACTCTGTCTTCTTTCTTACATAAAAAAAAAGCAACATCTCCATAGAGCTGACTCTCCATGGTCCTTTTTTTTTTTTTTTTCTTAAATCAGTCATGGGGCTTAAACTCTAGGCCTGGCCGCTGTCCCTGAGCTCTTCAGCTCAAGGCTAGTGCTCTACTACTTGAGCCACAGAGTCACTTCTAGTCTTCTGGTGGTTAACTGGAGATAAGAGTCTCACAGACTTTCCTGCCCAGTCTGGCTTTGAATATTGATCCTCAGCTCTCAGCCTCCTGAGTAGCTAGGATTACAGACGTGAGCCACCAGTGCCTGGCTTCCATGGTCCTTTTATGCAAGCAGCAGACCTGTTGCCTGCCAGTGCACTTTTCTAGGGCAATGAACTGCATTTGAAATAGAGAAAACTGAAGAGAAAGACTCCTCCCGCAGACACACAAAACTTTTGAGATTGTGTGTTAGTGCAAGAGAGGAAATTGGGGATTTTGGCCATAGTTGAGAAGAAAGATTTTCAGAAATCATTGCTGTTTGGTGGTTAGAGAAAAGTTTCAAAGTCTTTCTTGCTCTGGCTGGCTTTGAACCACAATGCCTGTTCTCAGCCTCCTGAGTAGCTTGGATTACAGGCATGAATCACTGGCGCCTGGCTGACCTCAGAGTACCTTTGCTTTTTAAATTTCAGGCATTTAAGAGGCTTCAACCAGAAAGGAGTCTTTGGGAGATACTAAGGTATCACTTCCAGGAGGAAAGAGTTCTCAATTTTCTCAAAATTTTTTCAGGGTCATTCCCCCTTAGAGTTGTTCTGCTTTGAGTCATATTTTCCAATATGACTGTTCAGGTAATAATTGGCATGAGCCAGGCACCTGTGGCTCACGCCTATAATCCTAGCTACTCAGGAGGCTGAGATCTGAGGATCATGGTTCAAAGCCAGCCTGGGAAAGGAAAGTCCGTAAGACTCTTATCTCCAGTAAACCACTAGAAAACCGGAAGTGGCACTGTGGCTTAAGTGGTAGAGCGCTCGCCTTGAGCTGAAGAGCTGAGGGATAGCACTCCCAAGCCTAGAGTTCAACCCCACGACCACCACCACCAACAACAAAAATTGGCAGGGAGGTTGGAATAAAAAGGACAGGATGGGAGGAAGACCCCATGAAGAATGGTAAAATGAATTATAGGGGAAAAGAGCAGGTACAGGGATCACAATTCCTATTCTCAAATTATCTAAGGTTAACACAGGGGATTGCAGGGGGGAAAGGGGAGACTGCTGATTGCAGAGCTAGTACAGAGGGTCTGGAAGGGACAGCTTTCAGCTTGAAGCAAGGAAAACTATCGACTATAAAGGCTGCACAAAGATGATGTATGTTCATTGAGCTGCTGGTCCTGGCTGGAAGGTTGCTTTTCCTCCTCCTCCTCCTCCTCCTCCTCCTCCTCCTCCTCCTCTTCTTTTTCTTCTTCTTCCTTCCTCTTCCTCCTTCCTTCCTTCCTTCCTTCCTTCCTCCCTCCTTCCCTCCCCTCCTCCTCCTCCTCTTTCTTCCTGTTTTTGCTATTTGGGGGACAGGTTTTAATTTTGTAGCCCAGGATGGCTATAACATGCCTCAGCCTCGCAAGTACTCCTGCCAGAAAGTATACTTCAGAGGAAAGAGATTTGATTGTGAGGCCTCACAGCTACTTGTTAGATTAGGTAAATTTGGGGAATCTTACCCCAAATCTTCTAGAAGTATCTAAAACTTTCAGATTCTGGGAACCAAAAAATCCAATGCTCAATTCCACACCATAGGCAAAAACCAGCTATATATATATTTTGGTCATGGGGCCTGAACTCTGAGCCTGGACACTGTCCCTCAGCTCTTCAGCTCAAGGCTAGCACTCTACCACTTGAGACACAGTGCCACTTCCAGCTTTTTCTGCGTATGTAGTGCTGAGGAATCGAACCCAGGGCCTCATGCATGCAAGGCAAGTATTCTACCACTGAGCCACGTTCCCAGCCCCTAGCTGTATACTTGTAATGCTAGTACATGCCTGTAATAATCCTAGACTAAAACAGGAAGACAGAGAGCTCTCTCTAGAGAGAGCCAGTCTGGGCTACATAATTAGCTACAGGCCAATCATAGGTTTCATAGTGAAACCTTGTTGCCAAATAAATAAATAATAAATAAAAATATGGAAGAGATCCATCTAGACAGCAACAAAATCAGATGCCTGTGACTGGTACTTTATCTTGCCCTTCCTTGTGCTCATTTGCTTGCTCTTTCGTATAGCAGGAACCTTTGACATTTTGCAGGAGATAATCTTTTTCTTTTAAATGTGTTTCTGACTCAGCCTTTGCTCCTTCAGTCTCACTAGAGATTGAGTTCTCCAGAGATTAGCACTGGCCTGTCACCACAGCAACTGCCCAGATCCTGTGGGCATCCGTGGTAACAGGCACAGGGCTTTGTGAGCCAAAGCTTGATTTGCAATGAAAGGTAGCTCCACAGGGATCCTGGTATGAAACAAGCAACTTGTACTTTGGGAAGTTTCCTTTAATAGGCTTAGCTGTGCAGGAAGGCATCATTTTACACATCTGGCAAGTCCCTGCAAGTGTGTGTGTGTGTGTGTGTGTGTGTGTGTGTGTGTGTGTGTGTGTGTGTGTGTGTGTGTGTGAAATTTTGGTAAGTGAAGGAAGGAAATCTCAGTTTTAAATACAGAAAAATCCAAGTCCCTGTATTGAATCTCCTTCATAAAATGAACTTTTCTTTTGTAATACAAGTCTTCATCCACAATCTGACCTGTGCTGTTATCCTAGTGCTATGTATTTGTAACTGGGGCTATCTGCAGGGTACTCTAGGGTTGGGGAGCGGGGAAAGCAAAGAACAGCAGCAATGCAGCTTCTTTGGGTGAGAGTGGACAGTGTGTAACAGAGAAGCAAAGTGCATGTGGACTACAATGAGGGGAGGTTAAGTGGGTAGGCCTTGCCTAGCATGAGCAGTTCTGCTGCAGCAGCGGTGGAGTGTCTGAGAGACGGGTATTCTTGGCAGTGCCCAGCACCGAGGGGTCTGTGTCCAGCGAATCAGACATCTTATCACAAATGGCATCTACCAGGCGCTCAAAGGCTTGCCTCACGCTGATGTTCTCCTTGGCACTGGCTTCAAAGAAGTCAAACCCTAGGAAGAGAAAAGAGACAGGTACAGATTTTTTTCCCCCATCTTTTCAACTAAAACTTTTTTTGTGCCTCCAGCAGAACACTCTGGATGAATATAGCCAGGGCTCAGAAGTGAAGCAAGAAAGCTTAGTTCCATACATGGGAATTCTGTTTCCAAGACACGGGTTTTAGAGCCAGACTCAGAACCTGGCTCTTCTACTTGGCAATCTTGGGCAACCTTGTTCTCTTTACAAATCAATTCCCTGATTTGTAAATGCCTACTTCTTAGAGTTATTTTAACTGCTGAGCAAGTTAATGAATGTGGAGAATGTGGTCTTGTGCCTGATACCGAAGGAGTTCATTAGGTTCTTACTGAGAGAGAAAATACATAAATAAATACTTTACAACTTTCCAAAGCATTTACACATCTGTTAACATCATTTCTCTTTTTCCCTTATCTCTAATGCAGACATTGTGGCTTAGTGAAGTAAAACTGGCTTGCCTGAGATAAACAAAAGCACTAGTCTGAGAAACCTTGATTTGGGGTTATTTGTTACTTTACTAGGCTGGGGAGAGAACCCAGGGCCCTATGCCTGCTAGACAAGCACTCTACCACTGATATATATACACCCAATCTAGTTCTGGACCTTTTGATAAAGGATTTTCCTTCTCTTTGCCCTGCTTTTCTCTTATCCCTAGCCTGGCCAATGCTAGCCTGGGTTCTGGAAGACAGGCACCTTAAGAGCCACAGTAGATGAGCAGAGCTTTATTTGACCTTTTTACACAGCAACACACTGGCTCACTCTGTTCAACGGGATTCATCATCCCTAAAGTCCGCTGAAATGAACCTATACATCTTTCCTCTCCTCCCAAAAAACCCCCAACAAAATGACCAAGGTAAATGGCACCGGAGGTATGCCACAATCTTGTCTATTTTGTCTCTTGAGATCCTTATGTCACAATGAACAGAACATGGTTGTACACAGAGAGACACAAATAAAGCCCTTTCTGATTCAAAGCTGCTTCCCAGCTGAGAAACCTCCACCAGCTTGTAAGCATCCTTACAAGCATAAACTGCCCTTTCTACTATGTCCTTGCTACCACTCACTTCCCCTTCTTACTACACTCCCTCCTTCCCTCTTTAATCTTCATTTCCCTTCAAGAGCCTATCCTGGAGCTTGAACTCAGGGTCTGGGCACTGTCCCTGAACTTTTGTGTTCAAGGCTAGTACTCTACCACTTGAGCCACAGTTCTACTTCCAGGTTTTTTGGTGGTTAATTGGAGATAAGAGTCTCCCAGACTTTTCTGCCCCAGAAGGCTTCTAACCACAAACCTTAGATCTCAGCCTCTTGAGTAATTAGGATTACAGGTACCAACCACGAATGCCTGACTAAGGCTCTCTTTTCTTATTTTTCATTTATCTTATTTTCCCTTAGGTTTCTTATATAAATATTTTCACCACCAATTTACAAAGGAGAAAATGAAGGCTCCAAGAGATTGTGTAACTCACATAGACCTATGTGGCTGTATTAGTAGGAAGTGAACTTGGTCCTGGGATGTTCAGGCTCTGAAGTTTATACCAGCCCTGCTGCTAAGTTCTTTCTCTTTCTCTCTTTTTTGCTTTGCAATCCCCCCTCTCCAATCATATTCTTTTCTCCTTTGACAAGTCTATTTACTTCTTATCTGAGTACCAGTGATTGAACTGGCACCACTACACTGCACCTGTCTGAATCACTTAAACTCTCTGATTCTTAGACTCCTCATTTGTCAGTAGGAATAATAACAGTATCTTCCTATAGTTGGAAGCACTGAGTGAGACAATGGAAAATTTGCTGTACAAAAGCCTCCAGTCATGACAGGTTTTTCTATTCTACTTTCATCTTGTTCCTCTCACCTCTAACCCTCTCTGTCTCCCTCTTTTATTTCCCAGGCTCCCACAAAGCAGAAGGACTCTTCTCCCTATTATTCCACCATCCAGAGAGACCTGAAGCCCCAGGTACAATCAAGGCTTTTCTTCCTCTGTCTTTCCCAGTTTGAAGGCTCTTAAGCTCCTGCCAGCCCACCTCCAAGTGACAGCATCTCCTGTGGCCTGTTTCCTGACATGAGAAAGGCAAGCTGCAAAAGTCCTAATTAACTGTGGGCACGTGATGAAGAAGGCAGCTAGCTGGTGGCTCATTATCCTCAAACCTTAGAAACCTAGCCTGCTTTGGTGTATATAGCTTTTCCTTAATGAATATCACAAAAATTGACTTCTTGGTCTTTGATTGGCTTATGGCAAGTGTACAGGGATGTACTGCTCGCCTACAAAAGGGTAAACAGGTAAAGCAGTAAATAGACCAACCATCAGTTAGATGAAGATAACCATACAGGTCAAGGCCAGGAGCACAAATCCAAATCAGAAATTGGCACTGAGGAAAGAATGTGCTATATTATACAGGTGGGAATTCATTATATAGGTGGGAATCAACCTGGATTTGAATATAATCTCTTTTAATTACTAGCTTTGTATATTCCCTAATCACTTTCCACCACTTCCTTATCCTGTAAAATGGAATTAATATTATCTATCTCATAGGGTGGAAATGAAAAGTAAATGCACAAAAGCATGTGAGTGTCCTCTGTACATCACCTTTGTAATAACAATATATATATATATTTTTTTAATGTGAGTGATTGGCACACATAATACATGGCAATTCCTCTTCCCACACTTTCCCTACCCACCTTAGTCTTAGCTTCATCTCTCCATTATCTCCTAACCACTCTGGGAAACTCAGTTTTTCTTCATTATTTGGTATCAACAAATAAACTAGGTTTTCCTTATTATTAAATATTAACACTGCACCAGGACCTGGGGAGAGTATATCTAGTCTTGGAGACTCAGTAAGATTGTCAGTCTTACATATCTACATAGTTCTTTTTTTCTTTTTCTTTTTTTTTTTTTTTGTTGGTTGTGGGGCTTGAACTCAGGGCCTGGGCACTGTCTCTCAGCTTTTCAGCTCAAGCCTAGCTCTCTACTACTTGAGCCACAGTGCCACTTCCAGTTTTCTGGTGGTTTATTGGAGATTAGAATCTCATGGACTTTGCTGCCCAGGCTAGCTTTGACTGTGATCCTTAGATCTCAGCCTCCTGAGTAGTTAGGATTACAGGCGTGAGCCGCCAGTGCCCAGCAGTGTCCCTCAACTCCTCAGCTCAAAGCTAGCACTCTACCACTTGAGCCACAGAGCCACTTCCAGTTTTCTGAGTGGTTTTTTGGAGGTAAGAGTCTCATGGACTTTCCTGCCTGGTCTGAACCACGATCCTCAGATCTCAGCCTCCTGAGTAGCTAGGATTACAGGCATGAGCCACTGGTGCCTGGTTCTGCATAGTTCTTAACAGTTCACAAATATAATCTTTAAACCTCTGTGAGGGAAGCCAGATACCGGTGGCTCATGCCTATAATCCTAGCTACTCAGGAGGCTGAGATTTGAGGACTGCGATGCAAAACCAACCTGGGCAGGAAAGTCCATGAGACTCTTACCTCCAATAAACCACTCAGAAAACTGGAAGTGGCGTTGTGGCTCAAGAGGTAGAGTGCTTGCCTTGAGCTGGAGAGCTCAGGGATAGCGCCATGGTCCAGATTTCAAACCCCACAACTGACAAAAACAAACAAACAAAAAACCTCTATGAGAGAGGTAGAATAAGGCAGACTTCAAGGCTCAGAGATGAGGTACAAACCAAGGTGTCTACCTTTCTGCTTCCTTGTCTGTCTCATGTGGAACAGTAACGGAATAAGATGTAACATTCTAACCCAGTTGGAGGAACCAGAGAGCCTGTAGGGATACAGGAGAGGATGAGAGTAGCAATAGATGAGTGGAGAAAGCATCTTTCTGAAGTTAGTTCTAACATCTCGATATTAGAACTGAAACATATTCTTGATGTTAGAACTGAGCAAAACTCTTTCCCTAACTAACTTCTCATTCTGAAGGATTTTCTGTCTTTCTTTCTTTGTCAGCTGTTGTGCTTGAACTCAGCCTGGGTGCTGTCCCTTTACCAGAGTACCACTTTTGATTTTTGGAGGGTTAATTGCAGATAAACGTTTCACTGGGGCTGGGAAGGTGGCTCAATGGTAGAGTGCTTGCCTTGCATGCGTCAGGCCCTGGGTTCGATTCCTCAGCACCACATAAGCAGAAAAAGCTGGAAGTGGCGCTATGGCTCAGGTAGTAGAGCTCTTGCCTTGAGCTGAAAAGCTGAGGGACAGTGCCTAGGCCGAGTTCTGGCCCCACAACCAAAAAAAAAAAAAGTTTCACAGACTTTCCTGCTGGGGCTGGCTTTGAACAGCAATCTTCAGATCTCAGCCTCCTGAGTAGCTAGATTATAGGCATGATTCACCAGGGCCTGGCCTTCTGAAGGACTTTCTTTGATATAGATCTTCATTTCCCTTTGGGCTTCTCTCTGCTATAACACTTGTTAGCCCTGTACTAAAAGTCCATTTGACTGGGTGCTACCTGAGCAGAGTCGGGGCCTGCCACCCTGATACCAGTTTGAGAGGAAGGTGGTTGGTGAATGTTGGCTGAATGAAGGAGTTAAGAAAGAGCATTAAGGACATGGTTGTGATGAAGACAGTAAGAGGTTATAAAAGTTCAGCTTAAGCATGGCAGATCATATGATAGGAACGGGGGACATTTGTACCACTTAGACACATTGATAATAGTAGAGTGATAAGTGCCAAAACAATGGGAAGCTAAGGATTGTCAGGGCATAGAGGATACACCCACCAATGGCCAGAAAAGGCTCCTTGAAGAAGCAGTTGCTTATTCAGATATAAGTCACAGACACGGGATTAGAGTGTATGTCTGAGGAAATGCATGGATAGAACACCTGGTGAGGACAGCTTTGTTATTAGGCTAGAGGGACCATAAGAAAAGAAAAGTCAGGGCTGGGAAGGTGGCTCAGTGGTAGAGTGCTTGCTTCACATGCATGAGGCCTTGGGTTCTATTCCTCAGCATCACATAAACAGAAAAAACTGAAAGTGGCATTGTG